CGATGGAGGGTTTGCCAAGCCGTGGAGATGTTGTGTGAGGTACACAGTGCAGTTGGGGCCTGGCAGTGCTGGTTGGACTCGATGATCTGAAAAGTCTTTTCCAAGCAGAATGATTCTGGGATTCTGTGATTTGGGTTTTCTCCAGGCAGACAAAGGGTGCTCAGGGCAAGCAGAGCCACTGCTCTTTGGCCACAAATCTGTTGAGCCAGCAACTCAAGACACACCTGGTGCTGGCTCACGTCTCCTGGCAGTGTCAGCACCGAAAAGCTCTGTGAGGTGCTTCCTGGGACTTCCCATGGCTGTGGGGTGCCCCTGTGCTTTATTTCCTTGTGGTTTGAGTCCCAGAGTCCCCTCGGTCCCCGCTTACAGTCCCTTGGTGCTAACAGCTCTCCTCTCTCCTCTCCTCTCCTCTGGCTGCAGGTGACCAGGATGCTGCACCATGGGAAGCACTGGAAGTCCATGTGCAAGGGGCTCGTCCTGGGGACCCTCCTGACCAGCTTCATGCTGCTGCTCTACTCCTACGCCATCCCCCCGCTGCAAGTCAGCGTGACAGAGTGAGTGTGGGGTCCCCACGCGTCCCCCCGGCAGCTTGGCCAACATTCTGCACTGGGCACCCCCAACTGGAGATGGTCCTGGGACTTCCCAGCCTCTGGTGGCTTCCCATCGAGATGTCCCCTTCCTACAGCCTCCTGCTGGGGACTGTCCCCTGGGTGGAGGGAAGAGGAACCACAGCTCCCCAGCGGGCTGGGGACACTCGGCCCAGGGAGCCCTGCTGCAGAGGGCAGCAAACACTCAGCTCCTGGGTGATGGGGGGATCAGGGGGTGCAGGAGGTCATGTCCCCCAGGAGAGGGCACAGCATCACAGGAGCTGTTCCGCAGCAGCCAGGAGCAGTGGGCAGAGCCGAGGGCAGCTGTTTGGGTGCTCTTTATCAAGGGTTTGTCCTTCAGGAGAGACCAGAGCACTGCCACAGGCAAACCCAGCCCCTGAGATGGGTGTGGGGAGGCTCAGAGCTCCGAGTTGTCCATGGTGGTGGAAGCAGGGCTGGCCGGTGCTGCCAGGTGGGATTGTTGTGGAGGATCAGCTTTGCAACTTCAGTCACAGTGCCCAAAGTCACTTGACACCGTGGGCTCTGTTCCCTGCTGCAGACAGCTCAGGTAGCACACAAGATGTTCTCAGAGAGCATCTGCAGGGCCACGCACTGGAATTATGTCCTTCCCTGCTGGGATGCTGGATCCTCCACTACTCTACAAGGAGCTGAGGGCTTCCAGACCTCACAAGAACGTTACCAGCTGCTTTTCATGGAGTTGAGGCCACGGAGAGCCTGTCTTGAAGCACTTCTCAACATCACCTCCACCAGGGCCACCAGAGCTGTGCCTGTAGGGAGGGATGGGGACCCCCTGCTCAGGCTGCACTGTTGCTGGTAGGGGTGACCCCTGTAGCAGCACATCCTCAGTGGCTGGGGCTGTCCACAGGGTAGATAGGCTTGGTTTGTTGGCTAAAGGTGGATCTGACGGCAGGGAGCTCATGGGGGGTGTGGGCTCTGCCCTGCTCACTGAGAGGCTGTTGCCAGGTGGGTGCTCCGGTCCTGCTGGGCATGTGGTGGGGGGTGAAGGGCACTCTGCCAAAGGTTGGGCTCATTTCCACTGGGGTGCCTGGGAGCAAGGACACATCCCCAGATGTAGCAGTTCTTCCCCAGCTCCAGCATCCAATCCTGGGGCAAGTACCCACCTCCAGGTGTAGCACTCCTTCTGCAGGTCCAGCACTCATCCCTGGGGCAAGTACTCACCCCCAGGTGTAGCCCTCCTTCCCCAGGTCCAGCACCCATCTCCAGGTCCATCCCCCGTGCCCGAGTCCATCTCCTCCAGGAAGGGAGGTGGCCGAGGCTCCACGGTGGCCGTAGCGGCCGAGCTGCCCTCACCCCTTTGCCCGTCTCTCCCC